TGGAGTCCTTCACATTCAGGGATGTGGAACAGGGCAGAGTTGCCATAGAGGAAAACATCAATTTCCAAACCATTTATGGCAACACAACAGCGGCCAGGTACAATGTCACAGCAGTCCATCCACTTAATGACTCATTTGTTTTCCTTTTGAAGGCAGCCAATGTTCAGCCTGCCATGGGCGAATTTGTGTATTTAGTAATACCTTATGACCCCATTACCGGGAAGCATATACTTTTAGAGCCGACCAAGTTGCCGACTTTCAACAGAACAACAAATGCTTTGTCCCCCATGTACCCTCCATCTCACTTAGATCCAACAACAAGACCACACAGGACTGCTTCAAAGCTGAAACCCCGAAACCGCTGGGGGAACCACACACGAAGCAGATCACCGGTTCCTCATGTGCCCCGTACCACGATGGGCAAGTTGGACCCCTCCCCAAAAAATACATTAGTGAGGATGGAGTCTTTACCAAGACCTGCATCTGATCCCCTGCTCATCATCCTGCCACTTCTGGCCTGCCTCCTCCTGATTGTCATTCTTGTGGTTCTTATTCTTGTCTTCCGGCACCGGAGGGAAAAGCGGGCCCACCCCGCAATCATACAGGCTTTGACTGGGAACCCTGATGAAGATATTTTAGCCAGATGCCCATATCTGGGTCAACCTGAGAGAAGTCTCACTGTTCCTTCGGTTATAGTAACCCCACTCACTCCAAGCTGCCCTGACAGCCCCGTTTTAGAGGAAGTACATGATGCAGCCTTGGTGCCAGCGATTGAAAGAGCTGTGTCTCCATTTGTCCTTTGCACATGGAGTCCACTTGACCCTGATTCGGCCCAGCGGTGTACACCAGCAACACCACCCCTTAAACAAAACCAGTTCTGGGTTTGATTCAACTCCTTTTATCACATCCAGATGTTGCTTGATCCAATTTTTGTGGACTATCATTGTGCATGACCATCATCAGAGCCAACTCTTAGCGTTACTGGCAGAAGAAAGTATGTTTTTAAGTTTCATACCATACACTGAGAAACTGAGAAAATGTCTATTTATACTATTGTTGGCATTTGGATTTTAACCTTATAGACTGAAGGGTCTCTTGGCTTAGTGTCAAGGGAAAGATCGCCAAATAATTGTAACACATTCATTTTTGATGTTAGTCCAATTTCTGTCCTGCCACAGCTTAGATCTTTTTGTAGTTTTGATGTTTTGTTACTTACAAAACAAAGAATAGTCACCAATCCTTTGTTATTACAAGGTCAGAATGTTTTGCAGTAATATTTACCTTTATGCAAAGTCTGAATTTTTTTTGCAAAAATTGTACCTTTAGCTTGTCACTGGGGCAGTACCCTCAAAAGGTACACTTTTGTACCTTCTCTAACACTATTAGCAGTTAGCACATTGAGGTACTATATGCATCCTTTAGGGGTACATAAGATACAATCGTGCACCTTTGAGGATGCAACCCCAGTGACGAGCTATGGGTTTTTGCATATTTTTGTGCTACAGACAGAATTAATGAACATGGTTAATTCAGTTCACAGACTGCAGTATGAATTGAATGTTATAAATTTAGATCCTTTGTCACATTTTAGAGGACACATAACCCAAGTTTTTACATCCAGTGTTCTTGCTTTTATTAAATACGGACATTTAACTATTCTACTTAGGCCTTCATGTAGTAAAAATAAGGGCTTTCGCACCAGGTAGTTATAGGAACTCAGTTATAGGAACTAGACATCATGGCTGACCCTGAGAACTAAATGTTCCCCTAGGGCCATTTTCCTGGTTGCATTCGCTAGTAGGAACTGTGAAGTGACGTGAAATGGAGATGGAATGTAGATTTTTAAGTTATGCGATTAAAAGAGCAAAAAGGAGAGCTAAAAGACTAAATCTACGACAATTTGCAGTGCTGGATATCATTGAGGCTGAGAATAGAATACAGTACCGCAAACAAAGGCGACAGGTAAATGCCGTTGAGATTAACTTTCTGTATGTTTATGTTCCATTATGTATGCTAGATCGTGGAGTAAGTATTTGTTAAAAATGGCGCTTTTGTAGCTTTTAAAAATGGAGGGTGCCGGTGTTTCGAATGGCATTGTGTTCAGCCCATCAACTTACGTACACTTGCGTCACTGTCTAGTTCCTATTGTGCTGGGTTGTAAAATTGTTCCCATTTCCTGCGGTGCAAACACGACAAAAAGCAGGTACTTCCACCAATAGTTATAGGAACTATGAAAATGTTCCTCTAGTGTGAAAGCCCCTAATAGTTTATTTCTTATGTCATTACCAAATACAGTATTGTTATTATTTAGGCCTACCGGTAAGTAGAAGAGGGAATGTAAATTTTCGGTAACATTTTAATCAGTAATAAAGTGCTAACAAATCATTTGCAAACTATTATAGTTAATTTATTGTTTATATATTATAGTCTCTATATTGTTAATATAATAATAACCTATATACAAATAGCGAGTTCTTCAGTTCTTTTTTCCCCCCTCAAAATTAACAAAATTTAAATGATTTTAAATAAATAGTTTTCGCGGGAAATTGCATAGATACGTCACTTGCCCGTGTGTCTCTTGTCATATCCGTAAATAGAGAAAAGTTGCTCTGGCTACTTTGATGCATGTATAGTGTGGGAGTGGCATAGGTTTTCAGAGATGGCGAGAGCTTATTTGAAGGGATTTGAAAGCGTTTGATTACAGAAACAATGCATGAAGAACTCACTACTTGTATATAGGCTATAAATATATTAACAATGTAGAGACTACACATATATAAACTAAGAATTAACTATAAAGGAATACTTTATTACTGCATACTCTAATAACCAAATGTCAATTTTTAAAAAATTTTTTTTTTACATTTCCTTCCTAAATGGTTTTCAAAAAACACTATAGAACCATAGCATTACGCTGTACCTTAATGCCTTATGTTTATTCATATTTGCTGTAGGCAAAGTCTGTCAGATTGGCATGAAATGAGAGAACTGAAACTACTCAAAGGTACATTTTAGAGAAGTGTCTAAATATGAAAATAGTATGCTGACCACAAAAACAGATCCACCCTCAAAAATATCGCACCACAAATTTCACACTCCTAATAAGCCAGATGGCATTAGCGGGATATTCAACCCTGATGCTATTGAAAGAAGGGGAATAGTTACCTTGACGCTCCATAATGCCTAGTGTGCTTCAAAGACTAATATTCTTCTAACCCACATCTCTGTCTATTTTTTTTTTATTGTTTTGAAGTGAAAGATGACCATTTGTGTTTATCTTGTAATGCCTAGAACTTACTATGGGCTTCAGGTTTATGAATGTTTATGTATGCGTGTATTTATGTCTGTATGACTGAGAGAAAGTATCACTGAGTTAGATACACTAATGTAAAAATGATTGTTCTTATTGTATAAATGTATATTCTAATAAAATCATTGCTTTTTCTCAAATACTTTGGAAGTTTTTAACTTTTATGATTCACAAATATAACACATATTAGTGGATTACTAATTCTTTATTCTTTATAGCTCCAATTATTTAGAAAACAAATGCTTCATAAAAACAGAAATGAGTGTAGTCCTTCCTTTTCTCCTTAGTGTTGTTTTAAGGGCAATATATGTGGTTGTTAGTGATCGGGGTGTGGAAATAAATTCTTCATGATTAAGGACCCGAGTATGTGAAAACAGACGCAGGCAGTGAGTGGAAAGAGAAGCCTAACTTTAGCTCTTATAAATAATTCAAATGCAGTGAGAGATTGACTGCTCCGGGGCAGCTCGGTTTTTTTACCATAGTAAGCACAGAAACTAATAGTAGTACGATCTCTTTCAATAGGTCAATTGATTGGTGCTCTGAGACCTGAGAATGCTAATCCTCTTTGTTTACAATTGTTTATTTTTCCACTTTTCTTTCATTCTTTTTCAGTGGTTCTTAAAAGTCTCCCTGTAGTCAATCCTTTTATCCCTTAAAACTCACCTTTTATCAACAAAATGACATAATTAAAAGTTTTTTTTCTTGAAAAAACATCTGTAATGCCTTAAAAAAGCTTGAATGTAACTCTACACCCTTGTCTCATTTGGTATTTGCAGTTCTATTAATATGCAAATTAGCCCCGCCTCCACTCACTCTCACCAGCTCAGAGGTCCACTCGTTGATGATCACACGTTGACCTGATTGTAGGTAGTTTGTGACGTCAGAAACACCAGCGAAACTGCAGTTTTAAGGAGAAAATACTCAGCAATGGTGTTGACTTATGAATTTACACATGGTTTGTCTTAAAGCACATTAAAAACATCACAGACATATAAACACTATTAAAACCTTGATTTTCACCACAGGGCGACTTTAAACTTTTTTAGGGGATGGACCACTTAAAGAGTAAAACCAAAATTGTGGAACACCTATAATAACCCAAAACTCATGTGAGATTTTCATGAGACTCTCCATCTGTTTAACCAATCCTGTCTTGAGCCAGTTTGCTTTTTGTTCTTATAAATACACTTTTCACAGACCACCAGTGGTCCAGAGTTTGAGAACCACATCTAAATTTTTTAAGTTTCACTTCAATTTTTCTTACTCATCCAGCTGGTTAAACGGTCTTGATAACAATTTGAGCTCCCAAAATACATCCACTAAGCTCTCATTTACAGTAAGTAATTAAACTAGCTAAAAATACTCATGTTGAAACATGGGCGAAAAAATGTATACACTGAATAATGGAAGTGCTGGTAAACTAGTACCGTGAGTGATCCTTTCAGCCTCGTCTGGAATGTCTTGTAGATAAAGAGGGTTTCAGCCCATGTTTTCTAGGTCATTGTTCCTTTGCACTTCTCCTCCAGGGCTGAGAAACTGTCTCGTCTTTCTCTCGCAAGCTCTTAATGTAAAACAGACACAGGCCTCACTCGGAGCAGATTAGATAAAGGTTAATAACGAAGTGAGAGTAAAACTTGCACAGACTGAGAAGGATCATAAGCAACCGTAACTGACAGACCAACATAATAAGTCATTTAAATGCATAATGTGTCTTTATATCTGTAATAGAATTCAGCAGAATCAGAAGACTGTTCAAAAGACACAAATGCCTTCAAATCTACTCGTATTTAGCATCACCAGAGTTCATAGTGAGTCCAAGGAATGAGTCCATACCAGTACAGAGAGCATTTCAGTACAGGCACACAATTACAAGTAAGAGATCTATGTTGTTTATATCAACTGTAGCTACTAAGCCATGTAAACTTCAAATTGTGGTTATGTTTCAAGGGTTTCAGGACAACTGAAACCAATTAGGACTGTTATGTATAATCAGATTATATGATTTTACTTAATAACAACGTAGTCAACATTCTAAGGACCATTGTCAAATTTCTGGTAAGTTTTCATCATTATTTTTTGTTTGTAACGCAAAGCCACCCCAAACACTCCTACAACACAGTAACTGTATTTTCATGAATCTATAGTAAAAAGGCTGCTTATTTGTGTTTCATTTCAGTTCTGGCCATTTGACTTCTTAAGCCTGATCATACATGTCCAGGGCTTCCTCCAACTTGCCTGTGATTTTCTGAAAGAAGCTGATCTGCTGCTGTAAGAAATATTGCATCTGTGCCTTGAAATCCCGCACACGTATGCGATGAAAGTGTTGGATCTCAGCTAGCGTAGCGCAGGAGATGATGTTGCAGCGGTCATTGATGCCTCCACCTGCAGTGCCATCTTTCTCCTCCCCGTGTTTCTGGCTCTCCTTGGCCTTAGTGAGGGCTCCTGGAGAAAGACAGAGGATGGAAGTGAACAGAAAAGGGAAAAGAACAATGGTTCGCTTAAAAGTCTATAACACACAATCACATCTGCAAAAACACACGCATGCACTCTTTGAGTTTTCCATTTTGAACACATTAAAATGCAAGCTCAGACCAGTCATGGCTTCTGATTTATGGCTAACAGCTCTCTTTGGAATTTCTCAAGGAGAAATCAATATTCCCTGTGCACTATAAGTCAATTCTGAAATTAACTCTTACTTCACTTTCGAAATTCACTTTCCTGGTCTTATTGCACATGATTCATCAGTGCATTGGTATTCCAAATAAAAAATTGGAATCTTGAATCAAAATGTAGTAACTTGCTCTTAGTCTTTCTCCAAAACAATTTTCCTTTTTCAGCTTCATTTACTTTTTAACCCCCTCCCCTCTAACTTGGCTTCATTTTGGAATGTAACGCCTACTTTTCACAATCCACTCAATTCCAGATGGATAAAATCCTGACCTACGGGTTTTTTTTCGAGCTGAATATCCTGTTTCACTCCGAAGCAAATACGAAAAAGTAGAATAAGTTGCGAATGTCGTTTCACATTGACTTTACGTATACAATCACGTATATTACATCAAAAAGTTTAGTTATGGGATGTGGTTCTTATGGAAGCTTGTTTCCACCACAGAATTTAAAAAAAAGTTCATTGTGAATTTTATCTCACAATTCTGACTTTATAACTCTCAATTCTGACTTTTGTTTCTCAGAATTGAGAGATATAAACTCGCAATTGCAAGTTCTAAAGTCAATATTGCTACTTTGCTAGATATAAACTCGGTATTGTGAGTTATAATCAGAATTGTGAGATATAAAACGCAGAATTGGACTTTATAACTCGCAATTGCGGGTTTATACCACGCAATTCTGAGATAAAAAGTCGCAGGCTTTTTGTTTTGTTTGTTTTTCTGTGGTGGAAACAAGCTTCCATAGTTTCTACATCCAAGGATTCAGAAAAACTATCTGTGAGTTAAACTGTGGTGTAAGCATTCAATGCTTCCCTGTGCTGGAGCCCTAAGCTTAGGATTAGAGCCTTCAACACAAAAGCTTTTCCAGTATCAGTTGTTTTAAAGAGACAAGCAATTTCTCATACAAAACGGCATTACCAATTTGCGTCATGAAAACCCAGAGATATGTTTCATAAGAATGACACCCGTCAATCTAATTTCACAGTAAAGAAAAAATAGATTAGTCAGAGGTATAAACTTCCCCCACTAAAGGGAAGTGAGGATTACAACAGGGTTGGCTTCATTTCACCATACCAACACACATCTCAAGCTGCAAGAACTAGCAGAACCCATATGCTCTCTCTCTTGCACCAGGGAAAAATCAGGACATGCCATTTGACGTACTGCCGAGAGCCTGTTGCTCTGTGCCATTTTCTATTAGCTATAAAAAGTTAATGAATCTATTTTACATCAGCAGCTTTCCTTTACTAAAACAGCATACATCCATTTCAGAATTAATGCAATGCTTTTTTTAGTTTTATGAAATAGCTATTTGAATGTACCATACTGATTTAGGTTTCCACTCAAATATTAACCTGACACTGGATAGTGTGTCATTTCTTTAAGCTGATGGCAAGCAGATCAACTACTGACCTACTGACCTATATCCACATTTTATTGCATGCCATTCTGACAAGTGGTATTTGAGCAAACACATGAGAAAAATTGCAAACCTTTCTGAACATGGATAATGTCTGGAAAGTTTGCAAGGTGTCCCTGGTAAATCGCTAAAAGATCGGAAATTGGATCCAAATCCTGACGGGGCTGCTCTGCAAAGTAATCCCCAATGGTCTCGTAGACTTCTCCAGTGTGTACCATGGCCTTGTTTAACGGAACGGAGTATACTTGCTGGTCGAACTCAAAGGCCTGACTTAAAAGTCTGAAAGCTTGTCCAACTCTCTGATATTCCTTTTTAAAACCAGTGATCTGCTTTCTGGCAAATTCGTTAATTGTGACATTGACCTGTATGAGGTTTTCATCCATTTTTTTGGTGAACGTTTTGAAACCATCTATGTTGCTTTCCACCTCTTGTAAGTCGAGCGGTAAAGCTGGAGGACAGATAGTGAGGAAGAAGTTAGCGCCGACTAAGTGGTCCTTCTCGGCTTTTCGCTTGCCTTGCTTCCAGGCTTTTTCGTCATTGCTGCTGCAGGTGAGGAAATGCTGGAAAACGTCACACTTGGATAAAATAGGATGACTCGTCATGTGATTCATCCACCATATTAAACCTTTCCTCCTCTTAGAAATGAAATCCTCTTCAAATCGACCTGTGGCTTGTTTTTCTGGCAAGTGAGGGACCGAAATGACAGGGAACTTTTCCACAAGTCGCGCATAAAGCCAGTCAAAGTGCTTGTATCTTCTATTCACCTGGCTTTGAGTATGACTAGGTGTGAGTCCATAGGACATATAGCTCTTCATGCCTTTGAATTTGGTCTGTTTTGTAGGGTCATCGATAGTGCAAGTGAATGGATTTGGGTTATCTTGCCATTCCGGACCGTATTGACCCATATCCACGAATATTTTGTCTCCATCTCTGACCAAACCTGAAGCTTCACCCAAAACAAAAGCCTCGCCGCCTGACTTTACGAAGGTTGAAAACCTATTGAGATTTTTTCCAACTGTTCCTGTGCTTTTGGACTGTTGCGTACTACTACCACGTCGAGACACCGAGGTGTTTGTGCTGGTCGGTTGAGTATTCCCGCGTTTTTCAGGTGTTCCTCCGCGTTCCTCCGACGTCACGCTGTCATCCCAGTCATCGTCCCAATCCTCATCGCTTCCTTGGCTCGTCTGAATACTGAGTCGCCGTTGTTTAATATGTCCCTGGTAAACAGCGGAATGCGTGGGTGTTGACTCGTTTGAGGTGTCCCTCCTCTGAGGACTATTTTGGTAGTAATAGTCCTGACTAGCGGATGTGCCGTTATCCTGTAGTGATGTGTCAGTCCTAATAATCTCCACGTATGATGCAGGGAAGAGTCCCGTCTCACCTCTGGTGTTCGTGCCCTCCAACCAACCATCGACAACCTCTTCACTACTCAAAGTTAGGAGTTCATTCTCTATCACAGAGATCTCGCCGGGATTTTCAGAGATAAAGTCGTATAAAGCTCTCGCTCTCAGCGCCATAGTTGTGTGTGGGAACGCTTTGTAAACTCAGTTTCCAAAGTTATACACTCTCCGCGCCGTTCCGTTAAATTAACCTCTTCAGGAATTTACGGTCTCTGCTTTCTACCAAAACACGTCGAAGACTTTTGAAGACATTATCCTGTTGCAAACAGTTTAAAATTCCTCTCAGAAGGGTATTGAAAAAGTGGGGTTTGTGTCCGCCTGCTGCCTCTCTTCGCTGAATGCGGTCCAGGGCAGAATAATCGAGGGTGGAGCCAATCAGAATAATCAGCCTGGGGCAGAGAATAAACCCAAATGCCCCTGCGTGCAGCACTGCACTGTGACTGACTGTCACCATCATTGTCTTTTTCAAAACATGTTGTCTTCCAATTACCTCATCGTTTCAAAAGATCTTATAATTTCTTTGTTAGTCTCTCTCTCTCTTTTTTGGCTTAGCGCGTATAACAGATCATTATCAGTAATTACATCAGTAAGAATCATTATATATAAATATATAGGCTATATGTATAGATAGATATAATGATTAAAAAAACTAGTTAGAACATTCCAATAGTTATAAATTCCAATAGTTAAGACATTCCAATAGACTAGTTACACATTCCATTAGTTAGAACATTCCATCAGTCACACACACACACACACACACACACATATATATATATATATTGTACATACAAATTGATGTATAAATTTAATGTGAATGTATCATTTTTTTTTATTTTTTTTTTGTAAAAAATGAAGTTCATTTGGGCAGGTTTGGGTGTTAACAATGTGTTTATTAGAAAGATTCTCATGCAGACTTTACTTGCTGAACAGTCATAAATTATAATAGAATACAAGTCGTTGTGTCCAATTATCAGCGAAATGTAATATAATCTTAAACAGATGAAAAGTGAAAGATGAAAAACACTTTTCAAACTTACCTAACATGCATGTCATATAAACGTCGGCCTATGTAGTTTATGATATTTTATTCACTTTTACAGAACTGTGTGGTGAGTAGGTATAGTGTTTATAACAGGAAGCAAATTAACCTGTGAACTTCATACATTGTGCCACACAGACACAGTCGTTTCATTGTTTCATGGCCTGTTTATCCAAATTAGTAGGCTATTATTGTTTCAATTTCTTCAAAACGTGTTATACATAAACATGATGCAATTGGCCTATGTTATAACATTATAAGCAAAAAGTCCCGAGCACGACGCGTTTCCATGTAGGCTACATATGATCAGATTACACAACACGGCTATCCTCCTGTCGCTCTCATGGTCGCTCTCCTTGAAGAATAGTGTGTAACTTTAACCAGTAGAGGTCACTATCAAACCAAATATCTGGCACCGTTATTTCCTTGTCACGTGATGTAAAAGAACCTGTAGCCTACGATCTCCTATCACGTGATCGCGTAGACGTTCACAATACTTACATTCTTAAAATGTAACAAACTGCTTCGTTACGTGAAAGAGCGTCGTAAGGGCAGTCAATACTATAATATCATATCGGTTTAAACGCTCAAATGAAGTAAGAAACAGAAAGAATTTCAATCCCTTTTGGATGAATGAACGTAATATACTCAGCGTGACAGTGACGTCACGTCGAAGTCGTGATGCTTTTGCCTCAGTGGCTCGCGCGAACACACAACAAACAGCGCCTTTCTCCGCCCACATCATTAAGCTGTATTACACTCGCTGTATCACGTCTGAGTCGGAATTATTTCGACTTAAAAATAGATATAGTAATGTTTTTGAATGTATTAAAAGCCTGAATCCTTTTTTTTCTCATCAGGACTTGTTTTATTCACATAACCGTGTGTGGGACTTACAGAGGAAGAGGAGTGCACAGCTAACGCTGCTAGCCGCTTTATTAGTATATTATTTTTCATATCTGAGAGGCGGGGATTCCAAAGCCGTCAAAAAATCGACTTTTGGATGCATTCAATTAACACCAGCGTTTCATTTCATAGTCGCCCTAACTCAGGACTTCTATTTTCCGTAGACAACAGCAAGAAGCTATCGGGGAAATACATGGATTACCTGGTAGAGTATTCTTTTTATTTCTTTTTGAAGATGGCCAGAGCCTGTAGGATCAGGTGTTTTTTTTTCATCGCTGCTCCCACGAATTCAAATACCTTTCTGAACAGTTATTATGTTATGTTTGTAACTATAACAAATATTCTTTCTCAGTATATTGGTAAATTCACTTACAGTTTCTTGTTTGTTTTACTTACAAACAAATCTTAGCCAATAGAAGAGGGTATCCAGAAAGGATAGCAGTTCTGAGCACTGTTAAATGAAGAGCTTTCCTGTAATATCACCAATTTTTGTCCATCTCTGATACGCTTTATATCTCGTTTTGTCCTGCTTTTTGAAAAGAAAAAAAGAAAAAAAGTATACGTATTTGGATAAGTAGCCTCTACAGTTTTCACTTTAGATGTTAAGTAGTTTGCTGCAAGGTATTATATCATTTATTTAGTCTACAAATTTAATTTAATTTGCTGCTCTGAAGGTAACAAAACAAATGCATGTATTAAAGAAAACTCACATGAGGGTGAGTAAATGTTGACATAAACATAATTTTTGGGTGAACTATGCTCCCTTAAAACTATGCCACCTTAAAATCAAAATGAACAATTTTTTTTTAATGGAATATTTCAGTATTTATTATGACTAATTTTTCTTTGTGCGTAATTTTTTTTAAAGGTCATGTGCCCTCATAATCTTTAATCAAAATAAGCTTCTCCTCCTTGCATCTCCTCTCTGATGAGGTGTTTACTGCCGGGAGGGCGGGGAAACCTGTCACTCAAATGAGATCCACCAATAGCAAACCACAACCATCCAATCAATTCTTCATGGACAAAATCAAGTCCCGCCCTACATTTTATCTTATCCGAGAAGCCGTTTCACTCTGATATACATCACAATAGAGAAGAAAAGACTATAGAGTGTGACAGTCTGGTTCCAGAAGTATTTTTTCAATTCATTTTCTCCATAGGGAAATTGATTTTTAACGACAACATAAAAACCTTAGTTTAAAGACAGCCCTACTGTTAGCTACGAAGTTGTTAATCAATGCTAATTGCTTGAAGCTGTCAGCCTGCATTATTTTAGAGCTTACTTTTAAAATAATCATGTTTAACAGCACAATTCGTGGTGAAAAACTACATTACCCATGATGCTGTGCAGCAAATTCCACCAATCAGAGTCGAAAAGAGCAAAATGCATCTTTAGCTCCACCCACTCCCATGAAGCACTGTGAATGATTGTTTTTTTGCAACTTTTTAAATGAGTAGTTTTATATTTCTCCATCGTTTTTAAATCGATTATGCTGTTCGCAATGCTTCATGGGATTGTAGTTCTTTCCCTCACTTACGCCGTTACTACACAGTCTTACACCTTTGTCTTTTTGTCCGATTTTCAAAACTTTTTTCTTTTTTGATTCACCTTGTAGCTGGTTGGCTTGGTTCATGGCTTATAACGCTTTAACAAAGACTTTTTAAAAATCCCTATGGAAAAAACTAATGGAAATAATACTTCCGGAACCAACACCGCTGAAAGAGTGGGCTAGTATTCAGTTCAATACATTTGAGATTTATTGTCATCTCATCATAGTGACACCAACAGTCACATGTCTCGTGATTATCACAACTCCATTAATGCATTTACATAGGATGATGCATATGTTGTTACAGATCACATCTAATCTTTTTTTATAACATTATGTTTATTATCAGCTTATTTGGCCTCGGCGTGACTTCTTTCAAAGTCCTTTTTTTTTGCACCATTCGTGTCATATAATTTGCCTACAATAATCAATGTCTGATAATAACAGTTTAATGAGTAGGCTATACTGTACTGTCATGTTGGTGCTGCTCCACAGCATCCGGTGCCAGTAAACTTCTCGCACATTCGGTGCTTTGATACTTGACTTGGACATATGCAGCGAGGTCACAGGGGTGCTTCCTTTGGGATTTTCCGGTCAGGATTCTCAGAATAGAACCATTTCCTGAAGAAACAGAGCTGAAAAGGCTGGCGGCGGCGTGTGGATTAGGAACAAGCTTGATTATGTATTTTTGTCCTGACACTCTTGACTTTGGGTCAGTGAGGACAAGAGGATGTTGTCAGACCCCTTTTCTCATTAGGTTCATGTTTGATGGAGCATAAAATAGAAGTTGGCTCCCGAACTTGTCCTTCTTGAGTGTAATACCTATTTATATTTCACTAGAATGTGAAAAGTAGGTTGGACTAAAACATGTGCGCTCCAATACAAGCATATCTTCATATAGTTAACAGGTCGTGCACAACTGTAAACAGATTTTATGCTGTTTTCATCAACAGTGGGCATAGAACAAGGTTTTAGCGAGCTCAGTGAAAGCTTTATCAATGTCAGCTCCTGGGTCTCATGGCATGCATAGTTGGCTTCCCTCTCCCCGAAATGGGTGGAGCTTAAACCTTTTGCCTTTGTAGTTGGCATGGAAACCACATCATTGTATCTACGTTTCTGGTATGTTTTTTCCAGTGCAGCGTGTTTCCTTCACGCTTTTTATGTGCTGGCCGTCCGGGGCCAATGGTTTTAGTGTTTGTTCTGAGTTCAGGTTTCAGTTCATTCTTGTTGGTGTCCCCATGGTTTTCCATTATTAAAGGACACAGTGCATTCAGTGCAGAATCTTAGCTCGGTTTAATTATGGATCTGGCCTCATTTGGTCCGTGGTCTGCTTATTTTGAAATGAATGGGAGCAACAATGATCCTATTGTGTTGTATTTTATTTTGTTTCCTCACTCTGTATGGTTAATTTGTGCGAGGAATCTCAATGCATTTTAGCGTTTGTCCAACAGCCGTTTTGGTGGCTCTTTGATGAAATAAAGCCGGATCCCATCGCATACATTAATTTAATCCCTTCGAATGTTATTCATTTTACAGGCAACCAAGCTAATTTACTGCCAAATCTTTTTGGTTAACTGCGGAACTAAGGTAAGGCATGAGGAGGAAGTATGTTACTAATTTCTTGGCAGTTAAGCACAAATTTCTATTTTATTTTAATTGACACAGTTTTTATTTGTAAAATAATGTAACAGTCCTGAAAATAGGCCTTATTAGAGGTTTATTTTTATTTCATGCTCATTTGCCCTATATTTTATTTACATTTAGATTACCTTTACCATCATCTGATGCTTTATATTTTTTATATATACTACCATTCAAAAGTAAGATAAAAAAAAAATTATATTATTCAGCAAGGATGTGTTAAATTGGTCTGTATTG